AGTTACTTGGAAATGAGATCTACTCCAAAAACTTTAACCTAGTCACTCATCCGGAAAATGTAGGTCAGATCCAGCATCCAAAGGAAGTTCAGTAGTGTGCATCCTTAGATGTATCATCCATGCAAGTTTGGTCAATATAGGGCTTATAGTTACTTGGAAATCAGACCTGCTCCAAAAACTTAAACTTGCTCCAAAAACTTTAACCTGCTCCAAAAACATTAACCTGGTCATTCTTTAGCTGAAATTGCAGCATCTGAAACCTTGACTGGTACAATGAAATACACTAGAAGCATCCTCCATGCATCTCTGACTAATACAGGCCATAGAAGTACTTGAAAAGAAAACTGCTCCAAAAACCTTAACCTGGGACGCCGACGCTGAGGGTATTACATAAGCTCCCCCAACTTCGTTGAGGTGAGCTAAAAATAATAAAAAAATAAATAAATAAATATAATAAAGAAGGGGGCATAGTATTTTTTTTACATTATGGTGGTAATGAGCAACATTCATTCCTTAAAAAATTTATATACATATAGGATCTCCCATGATTTGTAGTTGAATATGATTTTTATCCAACGAGTTGTGTGTTTTTTATCCCCGAGCCTTGGCGAGGGGATAAAAACACACAACGAGTTGGATAAAAATCATATCCAACTACAAATCATGGGAGATTCTTTTTATCCCATGTTTAATACCTCACAACCAATGTTTTACACTGTTTTATATATAGGACTCCACTTTATTTTACTTCATCACGCTAACGCTAAAACCATTGTGACGTCACAACTGCATTTAACTGTGGAATATGAAAAAATTATCCAATGAGTCATATCCATGGGATAAAGGGGTAAACATGGGATAAATATAAATTACAACATTTCACATATTCTCTGCCAGTTATTTTCAAACTCTGTATATTTACATTTTTTCAATAGTAAAAATTTCTCAATCAAGATTCTTTCCACAATAATTGTTTTTAGAGTCATTGTACTTAAAAGTGGATGGCTTTTATATTTACTTGAAAAAATATAATTTTTAATTATCAGAGTAATTAAATTTTGCACTATATGTGTATCCCTGTACTTATATTTACCAAATAATATTGTTGTTCTGTCAAAAACTACAGATATGTTAAATTTAGACAGAAACCACTCTTCAATATCATTCCAAAGCTCTTTTACTATATAACATTCAACAAAAAGATGTTCAATTGACTCAAGGTCCTTCTTACAGAAACTGCAAGCTGGGGACTCCTTTATCTTAAGTTTAAAAAGATATGAATTCGTTGGAACTATTCTATGTAAAATTTGAAATTGTAACCACTGAAGTTTTGATTCTTGTGTAACTTTAAATGGGAATTCAAAAATTTTACTCCATTCAGGCAAAGTGAATAAATATCCATCTTCATTCCATTTTAGAATTGAAGTACTTGTTTCTTTCTTTCTATTAATTAGAATGTTATACATATCTTTACATCCTTTCACATTAATATAATACATCTTCACAGAATTGGGTATATTTGGGCCATAAGAAAGCAACACATTCATTTGGTTTTTGTTCACAAATCTATCTAACACTGCCTGTTTCAAACCAGAATATTCAACAAAATTTAAGGGTGTCGAGGCTTAAAAAATTATTATCAAAGTCAAACAAGTCACTGATGAAAACAAAACCAGCATTAAAATAACTTTTAAGAAAGATAGAAGACTCGTCCATGATGATTTTTGGATTATATTATATGTGTTCTTGGAATAAATTTGTATCTTTCTGTTGTTCTACAAGACATATCTTAAGCCAACTTTTAAAGACTTCTATCCAGAAAGTGTTTGTTATTTTCTTACATAATTTAGCAGTAAAATCTGGACCCATTAACCAAAGATTTTTAATCTCTGTATGTAGTTGTGATTGAAGTAATTTTACCCATTTGGAATCTGAATGGATTAATCTTCTTATCCAACTTGATTTTAATGCTATCATAAACTCTGAATAATCTACCATTCTAAGGCCACCATCTCTATAGTCTTGAATGATAGTATTTCTTTTTATTTTATGGACTTTACTTCCCCAAAGAAAAGAATAAATTTCATCCTCAAATACTTTTACAATTTCTAATGATGGATTAGGTAGAGTAAGTATCAAGTGATTTAATTTAGGGATAATCAATGTTTTAATTACAGTTAACCTACCAATGGAGGTTAACTTTCTTACTTTCCACTGATTTAATGTTTTTTAATCTCACTTAACTTTGGTGTATAATTGAGATTAATCATATTATGTAAGTCTACTGAAAATTTAATCCCTAAAAGATCAAAAGTTGTGCTACTCCAGTCTAACTTCCATCTAGAATGGTGATATACATCCTTTCAAAATTTTTTACTACCAATCCATATCATTTTTGTTTTTTGAAAATTTATTTTGAGTCCTGACACCTTTGCAAAGTAGTCTAATTCTCTAAGAATTCCATCCATAGATTCAGGTGATCCATCAGAGATAAGTGATGTATCATCTGCATATTGAGAAATCTTGTACTCTTCTCCGTCTATTGTTACACCTCTTATATCTTTATTTTTGCGAATTAAAATACCTAAATTTTCAGCACATAGTAGGATCAAATTAGGTGATATAGGATCCCCCTGTCTACAACCCCTTTCTGGATATATATAATTAGATATAAAACCATTTTGTATGACACAGGATTTAATATTGCTATAAAAAGTCTTTATCAAGTTTTTAATTGAGGTTCCAAAATTGAAAAAATCAAGTGTTTCATAAATAAAATTCCACGAGATAGTAACAAGAGCCTTTTCAAAATCTATAAGCATAAGTAATCCTGGAATTTGATTGCATTCTGTATAATCCATTATATCATAAATCAATCTAATATTCTCTCCAATATATCTTCCTTTTAAAAATCCAGTTTGATCTGTATGTATTAATTTATTTAAGACTTTTTTTATTCGTTCAGATATACACCCAGATGCTAGTTTGTAAATAACATTTAAAAGGCTAATGGGGCGCCAATTTTTTTAAAAATTCTCTTGGTTTTCCTGCTTTTGGTATGCAAGTAAGAATTCCTAATCTATTTACAGAGTTAGTTCCCCTTATCTACTGGTGCCCTGTACCTCGGTGACATATGTTCTGTTCCAGTTCTAATAACTCTTTTTCTAACTGAGCTTCATGCTCTTTTGTTTTCTTTTTCTTAAAAGAAGAATACGAAATAGTTTTTCCTCTAATTTCCATTAACAAAGTATCCAGAAATAATTTATCACATAATATAAATTGTAAATTTTCATCATTAACAGAATCCAAGTTTTCCATACTATAAACTGGACATGCATATTGGGTTTTGACATCAGTTATCTTTTGCTTTATTAGGCCAACATAAACTTTATCTGTTAACAAAGAATTATTTAATTTCCAGAAGCCTCTTCCTTTTGTTAATTCGTTTAGCTTACAATATGCAACTATTGGGGAATGATCAGAGCGATAACTATTCTCATATTTAATATCTGTTGACATTGGCAGTAAAGATTCAGACATTAAGAAAAAATCTAGTCTTGCCTGTTTAATAGGATTTTTTCTCCTCCATGTAAAACGTCTAAGTTTTGGATATTTTCTCAGAAAACATCAATAAGATTTAAACTATCTATTAAATTTAACAGTTCTTCTCTTGCTTTTGGATTATTTAAGTTTCTATAATTCATAGAGTCCACCTCTTTATTCAAAATCAGATTAAAATCACCACCCATTATTATATATTGCGACACATAAAAATCTTCAATCTTTTTTAAAAGGTTTGAGTAAAAAATTGGAGCATCTAGATTTGGACCATAAATATTTATCAATAGAAATTTTAGACCTTCAATTGTAACATCTGCAATCAAAAAATTCCCACTGTCATCTTTACAAACTTTGTGTACTTCTAGCTCACAGTTGTTATTAACAAGGATTGCTACCCCACGAGAATTTGACTTCAAGGAACTGAAAAAGGTCCTGTATCCCCACTGTGACTATATAAAATTTTCTTCACTACTTGTAAAATGTGTATCTTGAAGAAAACAAACTTTTTAGCTTTTAAATAATTCAAAACATCTTTTCTCTTATTTTTATCACCAAGACCCTGGCAGTTAACAGTAAGTATTCTTAATTGATTATTCTCAACATGGTCCTCCATAAAACGCGTGGTAAATTTGTTTTGTCAAGCCCCGATAAGTGGAAAACAGAAAAGAAAAAAGAAGGAAAGTAAGACAATGTAACAAAAATGAAACATATTTACAAAAAGAAAGTTTTGTAGCCTCAAATGTGGTCATAATAAAGCGAAAGAATAGCCGACTTGGGCTTACCATTGCACCCCTCATAACCGGACATACAGTACTACAACATAATTTGAAAAAAATGTCCGAATACCCTATAAATTTGCGGGAAAAAATACATACTACTGCACACTATCTTTTTACCGTGAAAAAAAGCAACGGAAAATAGTAATTTTGCGTTGCTTAAAGTATACAAATGAACAATATTGTATATATATATACATACATATATATATATATATATATATATATATATATATATATATATATATATATATATATATATATATATATATATATATATATATATAGCAGTTGTAGCTTTTATGAAACTACAGAAGACAAGAGGAAAAATAAATTCTATACTATTACTATTTTTTTTTAATAGAACTGAACTGAAAATATATTTTAAAAAAACAAACAAACAAAAACAAAGCAAGAGAAGAGAGAAAAAGAATAAATATAAACACATTAGCAAACAGTATCAAAATTGAGATATATAATTTATATCTTCATGTATATATACAGAAATTATATGTAAGGTTTCTGCGTGTACTCATACAAATAACCACATAATTATTGTGGTTTTAAAAAAAACTGTGCATTATATTTTACCACTATGTAAGCATTACCTAAAAATGTTATAAATTAAATGGGGGGGGGGGGGGGGGGTATGGCAATATTCGTTCACAGTTTATTGGCAACATTAAGCACGGCATCACAAATGATATCAAAACGTCTGGACCCAATATGACTTCCCGATTTTCTGGAAATGACAAAAGCTACGTTGGTGGCACTTTGATCTCCTAGAAGCCGAACTACTCTCCGCCCTGCGCCGTATTCACCATCGTCACAATATCCGTCGCGGACGTTTCCTTGTGCGTCTTGCATTCGATAGGCTAGGACGTTATGATGCGCGCTAGCGAAGTTTGGGTCACTCATGACTTTTTTGTAAAAGTTTCTAACCTCTGCGTATGCATTCACTTTTGTTGCCACCGCAGTGAAAACATTGCCACCCTCATGGATACTATCACTATGCACTACCTCTATCTCGTTTAACTTTTCCTCCTCTGCTTCGTCCACAAATAGTAGATCTTCAGCTCTGGGTGTTGTAACTTTTTCACGAAACACATTTCCGTTAGGAAACACAACTTTATTTCCAATTATCTTTGTCTCAACGTTGTTACTCCTGTATTGTGTGTTGAACTCCTATAGCCTCCTTCTACTCTCGTTGATTTGCACCGGTGTTTGTGGCGTGATGTAAAACGGTATAGTGCTCTTCTCCCTTTTCTCTTTTTTATCTTTCTCGCGCACTGCTCTCTGGGCTGTGAGGATCCGGTCCTTATCATTGAGGTCTTGCAATTTTCCTGTGATGGTTCTAGGTTTAATACCTAATAGGCGAGGCCCATTGCGGTGGATCTTGATAAAATTGACATCAAGTTTTAAGTGCTCGCTAATAAGCTGGTGAACTTTTGTATTGAGATTTTCGATGTCCTCTTCTGGCAAACTATGAATTAAAATGTTATCTTTCATTGATCTTTCTCTCAGGTCTACAATTTCTTTTTCTTGCTGTGTCACTCTCCTGTCTAAATTTACTACGATTGATTTTAACAGTTGGAGTTCTTTGCGGAGAGTGACATTTTCCATTTTTAGAGTTTCAATTTCAGATTGATTGTCTTCATGTTGTTGGGCGATGTAAGTTATTCTATCGTCTAAACCATCCCCATTCCATAAATCTTTCTGCATATTGTTTACTGATTCTTGTAGTGTATTAAATGCGTCCATCTTTGCCGTTATTGCCCGTAGGCTGGTGTCAATTACAGACATATGGCTTAACGCGCCAGTGACCGCTGAGGGTAAAGACGTTGAACCAGGGCCTCGTATCTGTGAGGAGTTCTCACCTTTCATTTTAGAGTCACTCATTGCGATATTGAATAGCAAAAACCTTTTTTACAAATATAAACGGCAAAATCGCACTAAATCGGTTGCAAATATGATCACAAACACCAGTGCAAAAGTTTAAGGCTCAAAAACAGCTTTACATACCCAAAAATCGACTAAATCCTCTCTACTTTAAAACATGACCATCATCGTCACTAGTCACGTGACCTTGTCCAGGTCAGGTTTATTGGTATCCAAAGGAAGGTCTTGTCAAAAGGATTACACATGTGAAGTATGAAAGTCCTAGAATCAACAATTCAAAAGTTATGGCCAAGGTTAAAGTTGGGTAAAATTTTGTAAAACTGGGTCAAACTCCAAGGTCAAGGTCAAAAGGTCAAATAAGATGGTACCCAAAGAAAGGTCTTGACACAAGGAATACACATGTGAAATATGAAAGCCATAGCTCCAAACCAATCAAAAGTTATGAGCAATGTTAAGTTTTTGCGGACACACAGACAGACAGACAGACGGACAGGGCAAAAACTATATACCCCCGAATCTTCGATATGGGGCATAAAGATACTAAAGAGTAGGGAAAATTTTAAAGGGCAGTGTTGATTATTTTACACTCTGTGCTACTTGTCCATGATTTTTCTGGACAACCCTCAGGCTCCTACGTATTTCTGAATTTTTTATATGCATTCAAATCATTATGAATAATCATAGTAAAAAATTTTCCTAAGTTACTATTTCTGTGTTTGTACTACAAAAGTATTGTATTAATTTATTAGCTGACCTGTTTTTATATTCCTTTGAAGCAGGATTTATTCAAAAAATTCTACCTACATGGGAAGAAAAAAAACACAAGCTGTAGCCTATTGAACCTCTCCGTTATAAGAATGATGATACATGTCTCTTTTTGGCTGAAATATATCTTTCAATGGGTGTATCATAAGATCGTCCTTGTACTTACATAGGCTGTGCATATGTATGTATAGAACGCCTATGTCTATCCGTTGCTTATGGTAGGAGAAATCTCTCGATCGAGAGGGGAGAGAGTTAATTATTTTAAAAAACAGCCCGGTTCAAATTTAGTTTAAAAGCTTATATGGATTACTGCTGTTATTTGAGGTCTCGTGACTTATTTAAACTCGAGAGTCTTTTAGTTGAATAAGATTTAACAATTTCTATGCCTTACATAAGGCATTTTAAGTCTATTAGCGTCCGACATACCCGACATTATCATGCTTGTGAACTTGACACTTGGGATAAGGAATTGACCAGGAGGAAAAATAATTCTCTTTGCGGAGGAAAAAAGGTACTAAACATTCCTTAAACAAAATACTTTACATGTATGTGATTTTCCTAATTTTGTGTATTTTTCTTACATTTTCAGTTCTTGAATGTATAAATCGGCGATCAAATCCTAAGAGTGGTCTATCAATACTCCGAATACTAGCATTTAATTTAAAAGTTATAGTTAATAGTACAGCAGAAGTAGCTTTTTAACAAGGGTGTGATTTTAATCGGCTTTTGTTCCAAGTTATTTACATAGGAGTTAAGCTATAGATGGAACCATTTTTTTTTATATTTGAATATACACGTACTTGTGCCGATCTTCAGTTATGTTTATATATTCGAAGGGGCTCGCTTTCAGGATGGTGTATTTAGTCTATTGTGGTTCTTTTTGTCTAAATATAATGATAAAAATTAAACACTGAAAACATCTGATATTTATATACAGCAGCTCTTAAAATATCGTGTTTTCTTAATTGCATATTCAAAAGTTTAAATGTACAAGGAAATACGATATTTTAAAACTGCTAATATCGGAGGGTTTTAGTTTAAATTTTTATTATCATGTTCAGGCAAAAATAAATTAATAGGCTAAAACGCCATTGTGAAACCGAGCCCATGTGCTTGTTTCTAGTCTTTAATACTAATATTGTTTTATTTAATAATTTTTTAATTTTATATATTGATTTATTTGTTTTTTATTTATTTACTAAATGAATCATTTATTTTAAGTACTCTGAAACAGAGTCTTCTTGTTAACAGAAACCTGGCTTTTTCAAAAATTATATTTCGTATGCCAAAAATTCGACGAAAAAGAAACCCAAAGCAATTGTTCGTAACAAAATTATGGGGGAAAATAGTATGTGTCCCCTTTTGGACAGCTTTCATACATGTGGGGAGCGGGGGAGTGTCCTGCGCATTGAACTTCGGTATTTTTAGTGACCTACATTGAATTCTACTTATGCCAACAGCGAGACATGGTAAAAGAAAAAGAAAATGCTAGTTCAATTGAGGCATTCAAGCGTATACTCGCTGGGTAAAAGGAAATGGGGTTCATGAAATCAAGTGTCAACCAAACCAATTAAAGGTGTTCTTTGACTGGGGGTGTTTCTGTCGATATTCTTATTGATAATAACATTTCAAAATATACTTCTCTAGAAAAAGAAATAGTACTCAGCAAAGGTATGTAAAAGATTATAATAGAGTGTTTATTTATAAGAGTGTTTATAATAGCAAGTAGCACTTTGTCAAATCTACTTCACTGTATAGTGTATGTGTTATAAAATATCCTTTTGTTGATAAACTGTAAGCCCCGGTGTTATGATTTCTTATCAGATAATTGAGCTTAAGTCAGTTACGGTTTGGTAATGAGATTTTTCCTAAAAACCCACACATACAATGCATTGTAAATGGTCGAGGTAGGTAAAACTTGTACAAAATATTTATGATTTAAATTCTTAAAAATTTGGTTGATAGCGATTTTGGAATCTTTTGTACATGTAATACATGATAATTGCTTTCTTGTTTACTGATATTTTATTAATAATTCTACAATTTTGAGCTGAAGACAGAAAGTGAATCAACCTAAACAGTGGAATGTTGTTTTTTTTCTTTCTTAAAATATCGGGCATAATTTCAAATTATTTTTCAAAAAAAGAAACATTTTTTTTTAATATAAACTTTATAAAGGTCAAGGAAATGAAACTGACATTTAAAATACCATACGCTTTTCTTCTCAATTATTCCTTATTCACTTGCTACATACAGTAACATGCACATAGAGGTAGATACATCATGGTTTCATCAAGTAATAAAATCGACGGGGGGATAAAAATTTGTCAGACACATTGCACAAGAATATTAAATGAATATGAGGATTGGTTTGCTATATACATTGCATATTCCATGTATTCTTTGGTCTCTAAACTGAAAACGAACATGTTTCTTTAGTTTGGTGATTCGTGAATATGGATGAATTTCTGCAGCCGAAGAAAGCTTGTACACTTTGGAAATCTTTACCCAGAAAATTAACAACATTTAGGACTACAGTATAAAAACATTGTCATTTCATGTTTGTAGGGAAAAAAGTCTGCATGTAGCATTAGGAAATGAGCGTTCAAAATGCTGTGAAAAAGTATTTGATGTGTTTAATTATTTTAACATTTATAAAATAAAATGTACACGAAGCACAAGGGCCTTAACGGTCACTTGAGTATAATACAACAATTTACGGTCAATTGAGTTTAATACAACAATTTGGAGGATCGAAACAAGTACAAAATGAACACAAAGATGAAGCTTCATTGCCCAAAAGCAAGAGAAAAAGGATGATCAGGATCAGCGAAATAATTAGTTTAGGACTTAGTAAAAACTCATAAAGTAAGTTCTACTTATTGCCCCCATTGATCACTTTAACAATGCAGACTATTAACAAGACAATTGTGCTTTAGCAGTATTTGTAATCCCACATTATAGCCTCTCATATTGGCCTCTCCTGGTCTTTGAAGAACATCTAATAAGATAAGTTATTTTTGTCTCATTTTTATTTATCAATTACAAGTGTACATGATCTTTAAAACTATGAAAGTACTCTTTGTATTATACAATAAAAATTCTTGCATAATTCTCTTATTTTATTAATCTTTCAGATAATAGAATACAAATTGATAGAGTCCTGTCCAGCACTAGAACATTTGACCAAATGGTCAAGAATTTCAAAATCTGGTAAAAATACCATAATGCTTATTAAATAGGGGCCATGAAATTCACAATTTTGGGAGAGGTACCCTTGCTTATCATAACTATGCATCAATTTCTTTACATAATACCCAGGAGTAGAAAAGATTTTCACAGAATTAATCCATTTTCACTATATAATCAATAAAGCCCCACCTTAACACTAAAACCCTGGGTCATTAAATTCACAATTTTGGAAGAGGCACCCTTGCTTATCATAACTATGCACCTAATTAGTTTGTTAATACTCAGAGACGGAGAAGAAAATTTTCTAAGAAATAATGCACTTTCACTATTATGATCTATATAGCTCCATTCTTGCACCAGAATCCCCCACCCTGGGGCCATGAATTTAAAAAAAAAAATGGTAGAGGGCTCAATGATTATTACAATCATGCCAAAAGATTGACTGCTCGATGTCCTGGAGTAAAAAAGAAGATTTTTAAAGATTGCATTAATTTTGATGGATTTAGCCCCATCCCTCATGCCCCGGGGGGGGGGGGGCAGGGACCATGAAATTCAAAATTTTTGTTTCCCATTATCCGTAGATGCTATATGCCAAAATTAATTCAGCGGTTTCAGAGAAGAAGCTGAAAATATTCAAATGTTAACATACAACGCAGGAGGACGGAAAAAAAGAGATAGCAATAGGTCCCCTGAGTGACTCAGGTGACCTACAAAATATTTGAGATATGCAGTCTTGAAGAATGCTACTTAATGAATGCGTGAAAATTGAGGCTGGCCTTAAAATGTCAAATCTAAATAATTATTAAATATTGAAAAACAAATGCACAAATCGAATACGTGACATATAAAGTATGCGCTTGTTAAATGGTGTGTTGGTGTAAAACTGTAAATTTACAGGGCAGAGATAATTCCTGCAGTTATTCCAGGAGCAAATATGCGTTTATCATAAGTTCTTTCAAATGAAAGAATTATCCAATTTCTTTTCAACAATATCCATTGTAAATTATAGTTCGACGTCGAGTACAGAATTTGGGCTGCTTTTTGTAACTTATATATATATATATATATATATATATATATATATATATATATATATATATATATATATATATATATATATATATATATATATATATATATATATATATATATATATATATATATATATAATTTTAAATCTAATTTTGTAATATGACCCTCCCTCTCCCACTTCCGTTTTCCCTATTCTGCATATCACGTCTTGGAGTCGGAATTGCTTATCAGAACAGTTGCTGCCAATCACGACATCAGGTTGTTTTAGGGGGTTTCTCATAAGATACTGCATTCCTGGTTATTTTGAGTTCTGTTGCAGGATTTATGAATTAAACCAACATAAATACAAACCAATGATATTAGTTTGATAAAAATACTGAACCTGCAGCGATGTTTATATGTGAAAACTGGGGGAAATTGAGTTACGTAATTGCAAAAAATGGCTGACAGAAATCAGATTGGTCGGTTTAGATGAAGTCCTGGATATAATAATTGTCGAAAGTTCTGATTAAGCATCTATTTTTGATTATAATATTTACATATACGTTTGAACGATTAATTACATATATTGAATTTTTTGCATTACTTTTAATTTATTCATTCACATGGGAGCTTAGGCCTTAACCATGCCAAATTTCTTTTTTTTTCCGAATTAAAACTTCATAAGCATCGAGGTCAAAACCCTGAATATTTCTATTCATCAGCATAAAGGAAGGAAATTGCATTTTCATAATTTTTTTTTCCAATTAAAATAATAAATTCAATGATCATTTCAAGATAATAAAAATAAGAAGGAACATTTTTACTGACCCTTTTTGATGCTGGATAAGTGGAAAACGAAGTTCCAACTGAAGCGCCTTCAAGCATAATTATATTTTACAAGGGAAATAATAAGTTCAAATATTTACATGGACGATAACCAATATTACTTCGCAAAGTAATTCGTTCATCCTAGTTCATATAGTCAAGCTATTCATTCATTTCCTTCGATAAAATCATCTAATTCATAGCAAAGGAGATGGGTGAACATAGCGTGCAGAAAGCCTATAGCTTCAGATCTATAAAAATCATTTCAATTTGTGAATTTAATATTTAGAGTAAAGTTCTCATTATTGAAATTTATGAAATTCTAATAAACAAAACTTTTCTGAGGAAAATTTTCTCGGAAAAATTTATTCTTTTATTAAAAGATAATGTGGTATTCGTGGGGTTCGAACACTTAGCAGTAAAAATCCTGAGTATCATACTCTTTCGAGACTATCACGCTAACCACTAGACTACACAAGTCCTGATGAATAGTGGCATTTAAATCATGTTTGTGATATGACCCTTGACTTAATGGACTTCAAGTATTTCTCGAAAAGATGCGAATGCTATGTCATAAAAGTATATTTTTAAGGTATAGTGGGTCTTTGCTCCATGTTTTTGGAACCAAAAAAATGTATGTTTTTATGCTAACTTTGAGGATTAAGTTTCAAAAAAAAAAATTTGGAGCGAAGACTCACTCATAACGAAAAATAGTGTTATAGTGTGAGAAAATGACTCTTTTTGCCCTCTTTAGTGTGTGTATAATATTTCATAAGCAAATAATTTCAATCTTTGTGAGATTTTTGCAAATTTTAGAGATTTTACATAAAGTATATTTTACTGTTAGATGAAATATTAAGGAAAATTTTGATATAATTGAGATTTAATTTTTACCTTCATGTTTGTCACACTATAGGCTTTTCGCTCGTCATGTTCACCCATCTTCTTAGCTGGAAATATTATATACATTCCACATGCTGAAAATAGAAACACATACATGTCTACAGATAAGAAGCTTCATCGTAATGAAATCACACAGCTGTGTCCATGTCCTCTCCATGTCAAAACATGTCAGACTCAACAAAAATCATTCCATTTTTAGAACGGAATCGGAGGTTCTAAATCCTCCTAGAGTACCTTTCGAGACTAAAACCATAAACTGATATGAGCCTGTGAGAAATAAAAGTGAATACTGGTTTTTACTTCCATGGTACATTTCGCAGCATAAAGACTTGATACTTTTTGTACTCGGCAATCTTCATAGCACTGGAATGGAGTCGCTCAATCTTGCTCTGGAGGATATAATCACGGAATGTGGTGGCTTTGGCCGTTTCCAATACATCGTCATCGGCGTCGCCTTTCTTGTGAAAGTGTCATGTGCTTGGAGTGTCCTCATGATGCAATTCGCCGGGGCGTCACCAGAATGGTGGTGCATGTGGAACACAAATACGTCACATGGCTACACCGGAAACGAGAGCTTACAGACACTTGAAGTATGCAAGGCGCCCAATAATGAATCTTTATCTGGAATGTGTCCCTCTTTTAGTTTTTCATCTGGAATAAATACAATCGTGAATGAGGTAAGAGCAGTGTAAGCTAGGACACTTTCTCCTGAACACAAAATATACAGAGTCAGGTAACTTGTTTTTCACACAAATCATACGATTCTTGTAAATAAATTCATTCATACATTGTAAATTACGAAGAAATAATTATTCAATGCTTATATATATATATATATATATATATATATATATATATATATATATATATATATATATATATATATATATATATATATATATATATATATATATATATATATATATATATATATATATATATATATATATATATATAAGTTTTAGGTGTGCTTACTTTAGCAGGAGATAATCCGATATTCTTTAAAGAGTACGGTATATTGAATCTTATCGAGCACTCTCGACTCTTGTTCTCGTCTTTGTAGTGGGAACTGGTCTGTGATAAGGATTGGGTATCTTCTACAATAACCACAATACAGATGGCCGGCATGTTAGTCTCTGGTCTATTGTCTGGGCACCTGTCGGATACATTTGGTAGAAAGCTGAATTTCTTTCTGTCTCTGGCCTTCATGATGGTTGGGAATTTCATCGCTGCTGTTTCCGTGTCATGGCAGATGTTCGCTGTAGTGAGATTTGTGATCGGATTCGGCGCTGGACAGTTCCTAGCTACTCTGTACATATATATGATTGAGTTCATACCTAAGAGACACCGATCTATGATTGCAGCTCTACCCACCTTTCCAATCTTCGCTGCTTTGTTGGCCCTAGTCTCATATCTACTAAAAGATTGGAGACATCTCCACTACCTAACAGCCGCCATCACATTACCATCATTCTTGGGACTATTGTAAGTTTTCCTTAGGGGTTTTTACCTTGCACATGTATGATTTGAATATCTCGGACGGGGAAGATTCTGATATAATACACATGCACATGTATATCAAGGTGTCTGATACATTATGGTCTAAAATTACAATCTCAACAGTAATGTATCAAGATACTTTTTTGTTAAATTTGTATGGAAATGGTCTCTAATTTTGACTACATTTTGTGAAGGCATTCAGTGTGACTAAAATTTGACTCATTTATAGCAATAATAACCGTACCATGCATAAAGAATTGCCCTGGATATTTTGTCAATGTCAGTAAATGCATGTTTTGATTTTTTTTCTGCAAATGCCAGTGGAAAGATTATCAGTTCTGTGTTGGCGACTCCTCCCATATTCGAGCGTAAATATACAATCTTTTAGCAAATCCACGATTAGTAAAAAAGAAAAATAAGATAAGTTTTTGTTTGTTTTTTTCAAGTGTAATTCCTGAGAGTTTTCGATGGCTAGCCTCACGCTTCAAAATAAAGAAAGCAGAAAAAGTCGTCAGAAAGATTGCAGACATGAATGGTCGTCCCTGTCCGGACATGGACAGAATAAGACTGGCACTGAGCACCAAAAACAGATTGAAAGAAAGAAAGTATTCCATCATTGATATATTTAGAGAAAAATATCTGCTCAAAAGGACATTATTACTGTGGTTTTGCTGGTAAGTACATTTTGTGTACAGTCCACGCAGTTAAAACTCCGGAAATATTCAATATTTTCGATGTTGACCTGTTTGCTGCGAATTAAAATAAAGGTGAAAAATTCTTTGCATCTTTTAAAAAATCTGAAGAATCACGGGACCAGAAAAGTTGAAACTAATTTGAAAGCTCTATTACAAAGTACAAATTCACTTTTGTTTAAATTACGACCCCTGGGTGTAGGGTTTGGCCACAACAGGGGATCAAAGATATAGAAAGGAACATATGGGTAACATAGAAATAAATACAAATCTTTAAAATCTTCTCTGAAGGACAGCAAATCATGAGTTGTCATTAGAATATAAAAGCTTTGCAAGAGTAGATTAATGTTTATTCTGAGCAACAATAAGAGATCAACGTTGTTCATAGGAATATATAGAAAAAATCTTTAAAAATTATTTTTTCAAGAATATTAAAACAATGTTTAGTCATATAAATATAGATACATCCTCAGTGAGTGTGAATTTAAGTTTCTTCAAATCGTGACTTCCAGTGGCCACAATAGGATATTAAACTTTTACCAAAAATTAATTTTTGTAAAAATAAATTTTCTCCTGAAGGACAGCAAAGACATAATTAGTCATATTAAAAGGGAAGCATCCTCAGGTAGGATAGATTCAAGTTTGTTCAAACCATGACCCCGGGTGTAGGGCTGGGCCACAATAGAAAATTTAATTTTTACATGCTGTGGAATCATTAGATTTCATGATGGCTTGATATTCATAAAATTTGTGGGTACCTTTCATAAATTTTCATCCTTCAAGAATTCATATACTAGGGTTTTAAAGTCATAGTTTCTTATGTAGATATGAATGAATACACGATATTACGTCCACAGTAGTAGTATTTAAGAAAAAAAACCTTTGAAAAAAATTTCAAAACAAGCACAGCCACGATAAGTCATATGAATATGGAAGTATCTTCAGATTCATGATTGTTTGAATCATATCCCCCAGGGTAGCGACTGTCACGGTAGCTCAGTCGGTAGAGCGCTCGTTCCGTGAATGGAAGGTCGTAGGTCACAACGCTCACCTGAATAACTTTGACCCTGCTAATTTTCACAAGATTTTCCCCTTGTAATAAGTATTGTGGCCCCACCCTATCCCCGGGGGTCATGATTTAAACACTTTAATGTTTCCATGTAAGTTTCAGCTATTCTGGCCCAGTGATTCTTCAGAAGAAGATTTTTAAAGATTTTTCTTATATATTTCAATGTAAAACTTGATTCCCCATAGTGGCCCCTCCCTAGCTACCCCCAGGGGACATGATTTGAACAATTTAGAATCTTCACTACCCTAGAATGCTTCCATGTAAGTTTCAGTTTTTCTGACCCAATGGTTCTTGAGAAGAAGATATTTAAAGATTTTTCCTATATATTTCAATGTAAATATTTGATTCCCCATTGTGACCCCACCCTATCCCCCGGGGGTCCTGATTTGAACAACTTAAAATTTACACTACCCCAGAATGCTTCCATGTAAGTTTCAGCTTTTCTGGCCCAGTGGTTCTTGAGAAGAAGATTTTAAAAGATTTTTTCTACATATTTCAATGTAAAACTTGATTCCCCATAGTGGCCCCACCCTACCCCCGCGGGTCATGATCTGAACAATTTAGAATCTACACTAACCCAAGATGCTTCCACGTAAGTTTCAGCTTTTCTAGCCCAGTGGTTCTTGAGAAGAAGATTTTTTAGTAACTCCACCCTATTTTTGTCTTTTCTGGATTATCTCCCCTTGTAAGATGGCTTGGCCATTCATTTTAATAATTTAAACTAACCTTCACCCAAGGATGCTTTGTACCAATTTTGGTCAAAATTGGCCCAGTGGTTCTTGAGAAGAAGTTTAAAATGTGAAAAGTTTACAGACGGACGGATGGACGGACGACGGACAACAGGTGATCAGAAAAGCTCACTTGAGCTTTCAGCTCAGATGAGCCAAAAAATAGGTAGCAACTGTTCCTTCGCCATGCGCTCGGCACTTTAAAGTGAAAGTTGCGGGTCCTTCGGATGAGACCTTAAAAAAGAGGCCCCGTGTCAAGGCAAGCGTCGGCACGTTAAAGATTCCTCACTGCTTAACGGCCCTGAGTGCCGAGTAAAGGTCAATTATTGAAGCCCTTCACGGGTATATGGTGACGTCTCTATATGAGTGAAAAATTCTCGATTGGGACGTCATTCAATCAATCAATCAATCAATCAATCCCCCATGGTAGCTTATGGCCTCAATAGGCAAAAAAAACTTTACATAGAAATGTTTAGGAAAAATCTTTAAAGATCTTAAGAAGTACAGCAAAGCAATGATGAGTAACATTAATTTAAACAATAAAATATCTTTCTTTGTCTGTTAGTACGGGAATTGATATTGCAGCTATTGCAGAAAAATTGCATAACCCGCGTAAGCGGGTTATGTTATTTTTTTTTCTGCAATAGCTGCAACGTTAATTCCCGTACTAACAGACAAAGAAAGATATTTTATTGTTTATATTAATATCTGTACAAATAATCATTTAAAGTAGGATTTAGTAGACGAAATAGTGTATAATTGATATGTACGTCATTGTACATTTCATTGATGGAACAGCCACTACTCCAGAAATCTGTAGAGGTGATATGCTTAGTGGTGTTTACATGAGAGTATCCTCAGTTAGTGTTGATTCAAGTTTGTTCAAATCCTCCCCCAAGGGTAAGATATGTTTACATTAGGCGTATAAAGTTTTAAATGGGAATATATAGGAAAAAAATCTTTAAAACTCTTCTTCTAAAGAACAACAAAGCCATGGTAAGTCGTATAAGTGAGGAAGCATCCCCCGATTGTTGATTCAAGGTTTTCAAATCATGACACCTAAAGGGTAGGATGTGGCTCCATTAGGCGATTAAATTTTTATATAAGAATATGTAGATTTTGGTCCACAATATATAGAGTCAAAATTTTTACGAAATTCAAGAGGATTTAAAAGAAAATTGCTGATGAAAAACAGAAGGACTGAAGTGACTTAGGTGAGTGCTGTGCCCATGGGCTTCTGGTTAGGTTGTCTAATGGTTTGTCTTGCCTTCTCACTATTGGGTTTGTGGTTTCTATTTTAGGATATCCTGCGGATTTTCCTACTATGGCCTCGCCTTCGGTGTTGGTCAGCTTTCTGGGAGTTTGTATATCAATATGTTCTTCCTGTCTGCAGTAGAGGTACCCGGAACCTTCAGCACTTGGTGTCTTACAAACCAGTGAGTATTTATAGATACCCATTTACCATGTAATTTCTTATGAAGAGTTTTCACTTTCTTTCGATAAAATTCACAGTCTATACAAATACAACCGTTTCAGATTTTTATTCTTTTTAGATGATGTCATATACCTTTAAAAAGAAGAATCATTTTATGGTTGACCGGATTTTTTTGTACCAATATAATTCTAGATTTGGTCGTCGATGGACAGCTTTGGTTCTGCTTTTATTATCAGGAGTAGCCGGAGTAGCAACTGGAACATTCCAGAACCTAGGCAAGTATTTGGTTTTCTTAGCAGGAATAATACCTTTTGCAAAGGAGATGTGTGAAAAAGGTGTGCAGAATGCCCTAGTTTCAGATATATAAAAACCATATTCAATTTGTGAATTTAGTATTTAGAGTAAAGTTCTCCTTATTGATTTTTTTTTTTTATGAAAAGTGGCAAGAAAAAGTATTTTTCGGAAAGATGCAACTGTTGTTTTATTAAAGTGTATTTTTAAGGTATTGTGGGTCTTTGCTCCATGTTTTTGTTAACCAAAAAAATTATATTTTACGCAAACTTTGGTTATAAACTTTCAAAAAATGGAGTGAAGACCCAATCAAATCGAAAATGTGTTATAATATGAAAAAAAATGGTCCTTCCTGCCCTCCTTAGTGTGTATGCCAGGTCATAGGCAAATAATTTCAGTTTTTGTGAGATTTTTGCAAATTGTGGAGATTTTACGTAAAGTATACTTTAATTTATACTTTATGCTTTAATTTTTATGCTCCGGGATCGAAAGATCCCGGCGGTATATTGTTTTTGTCCTGTCTGTCTGTTTGTCCGTTTGTCTGTTTGTCTGTTTGTCTGTCGTCAACTTTAACCTTGCCCATAACTTTTGATTGGTTGGAGCTATGACTTTCATATTTCACATGTGTATTCCTTGTGACAAGACCTTTCTTTTGGTACCATCATATTTGACCTTTTGACCTTGACCCTGGAGTTTGACCTACTTTTGCAAAATTTTATGAGACTTTAACCTTGGCCATAACTTCTGAACAGTTGGTGCTTGGGGTTTCAAACTTCACATGTGTATTCTTTGTGACAAGGCATTCCTTTGGATACCAACAACTTTGACCTTTTTACCTTGACCTAGGAGTTTGACCTACTTTTGAAAAACTTTAAACTTGGCCATAACTTTTGAACAGTTGGTGCTTAGGGTTTCAAACTTCACATGTATATTTCTTGTGAGAAGACCTTCTTCTGGATATCAACCACTTTGACCCTTTGACCTTAATCCTAGGAGTTTGACCTACTTTTGAAAAACTTTAACCTTGGCCATAACTTTTGAATGGTTGGAGCTAGGGCTTTCATACTTCACATATGTAATCCTTGCGACAAGACCTTCCTTTGGATACCAACCACCACTTTGACCTTTTGACCTTGACCTAGGAGTTTGACCTACTTTTGAAAAACTTTAACCTTGGCCATAACTTTTGAATGGTTGATGCTAGGGCTTTCATACTTTACATATGTAATCCTTGTGACAAGACCTTCCTTTGGATACCAACCACTTTGACCCTTTGACCTTGACCTAGGAGTTTGACCTACTTTTGAAAAACTTTAACCTTGGCCATAACTTTTGAATGGTTGATGCTAGGGCTTTCATACTTCACATATGTAATCCTTGTGACAAGATCTTCCTTTGGTTACCAACCACTTTGACCTTGACCTTGACGTTTGACTTTTATTTAAAAAACTTTAACCTTCGCCATAACTTCTCAACAGTTGTATCTAGGTCTTTAAAATTTCACAGGTGTATTCCTCGAGACAAGACCTTTCTTTGGGTATCAACATTTCTTATCTTTTGGCCTGGATTTTGACTTGAATTTGAAGAAACTTTAACCTTCGCCATAAGATGCCATACGGGGGCATCAGTGTTTCACAAACACATCTTGTTCACCTTCATTTTTGTCGCCCTATAGGCTTTTCGCTCGCTTTGTTAGCCCATTTTTTAAAATATAATTTAGATTTGCACGAAAATTGCACACTTTTAAGAGAACTACAAAGACCATACCAGTATTCTATATTACGATAGGATAATAGAGCTATGTTTACATATCTATTTAGCATCACAACAGTTGCATTCATAGTTTTATGAATAATACAACAGCTACTGCTCCCTTATGAGTGCAAGTGTTGATACCAGTTTTATGTTGTTGTTTTTTGTTGTTTTGTTTTGTTTTTGTTTTTTTTTTTTTTTTTGTTTTTTTTACTAATTGAATAATGTCTTAAAATTACGTATACAAAGTGGGAAAATTTTCATACATACAATGGAAAATCACCTTTTTTTTTTGTATTATTGATTTAATTATGAGGTTGAATTTTAATATAAATAATATATCTTCTAGACTTCATGTCTATTTTTTACTAAAAGTACATGTATCAATTATGTAAGCCGGTGAATATAGATGTCATGTAATATATGTAATATGTAATGTCAATTATGTAAGCCGGTGAATATAGATGTCATGTAATATAACTAAATAGAAGTAATATTAAATTACAGGAAAAACCAATTTTCCTGTTTTTTTCCTAAGAACAAAAGATATTCAAATCATTTTTGACTGCTTTCTTCTTAAATCATTAGATCCGGAGTCTTTGCCCCATCATGCTACGATTGTTACTATTCTGGCCATTACTGCTAAACTAGCGATTTCAGCTGCGTGGACTTCAGTCATAACGATCACAACAGAGTTGTATCCCACTGTTATAAGGTAATCAAGAATATAAAATTATACCTAAACGTTAGGTTATCATGACTGTACAGTATTACATGTGTGTGTTCTCATGTTATAAGGTAATCAAGCCTATAGAATTATTCCCTACCGTTTGGTAATTATGATTACATCTACCTGTCTAATTTACATACCAAAACACAACAGTAAAGAAAAAAATATTCGTCAAGTGATCAACTGTTACCGGGTATTCAGTTGTTGACGTCTATTTGACAGCTCATTGATGACATGTCAGACATTTTCGTATGACGCTTTTGCATGTTTTGCAAGTTTTGAAATTCCTTTAGAAATAATATGGAAACAGTATAAGGAATTGATATCTGGTCAGTAGGTCACTTAAAAGGGGATATGGATTTGATATCTGGTCAGTAGGTCATGTGGAAGGAGGTAATTATGGATATGTTATCCCGCTGCAGATAAATTTGTTGAATATGGAATGGATAAAAACAGATGATATGACACCTTGAAATCTTCTAATGCTATGTCTCCGATTGGGGGGTGTATTTTAAATTCGGGTGCAAGATTCTTTTCTAGGAGTATCTGGTGTAAATAAATGCAAACGGTTTGTTTCTGGAAATTTATTGTTCGTATCTTTAATTGTGATGATGTCATACTGAGAATACATAATGTTCCATGGTATTTTGATTTTTAAAAATATATTACTAACTTCAAAACAAATTTTAGAAAAGGTTTTCAGCGGGATAAGTTCAATACATAATACATAGATAGTTTGTGACCTAATACGAAGTCATCCAGGATGTGAAATGGAAAAACTATCAGGCGAGACTTCTTACTAATAATATCTGGTTAATAAGTAACGTAAATGGGGATAGGGATTTGATATCTGGTCAACAGGACAGGTGAAAGATGGATATTAACTATATCAGTTCAGAAACAACAGCATTTGATTTTTGCAGTATTTATACAGTATTTTAGATTTTTAGAAGAGACTGGATAATTGTGTTTTTATAATAATATATAATCAAGTATTTGCACGGTAAGACGTTAACAAGGATGTGCAGAGTCATTTCCTTTTAAGATAATCTTGACTGTATTAGAGCGAATTATAAAAATAGCGAACTGTGATCAAGCTCAAAATCCAATAAAACAATAGGGCAATTATGGACCCTTAAAAATATCAGAGGTGAGATCAGATGCCATGAAGGAGTAAGTATTCCCTGTTGACCTGTCAATCATAGCCTACTATTACCTGATTATCGTGACTTCAAAGTTATACCCTACCGTTTGCAGTTACTACTTATCGAGTTATACCTTTCTTAGAGTTTTCACTCAGTACTATAAATGTATCCTGCTCTTATCAAGTGATTGCTAGTATATAGGTTTACTGTAAGTAATAGGGGAAATAAATCCTGCTTCAAAATAAGTGTTCCTACACAGATCAGTCTTTGTTACACAGCTTCCACACCATTCTCAACTTCAAGGAACCGTCAAAAAAGTAATCTACAGTAATAACATAAAATATATTCATCTTAAAATTATAGCCTAAAGGCCAAAAATACGAGCTTAATAATATTCCAAGTACTATTGTAAAAACGTCACTGGCATGATATGTATAATAAATGTACATTGTACATACAAATATAACTGATGAAAAAGGCACACAACACAAATAAACGGAAAGTACTTTTTTGAGAAGATTTTTTTCAACTTGATACTAAGTGGAACTCAAACAATCATATATCCCGTCACCACACCCTCCAATCTGCATTTTGGAAATGTTCTATATAGTTTTGTTGTTTAATAGTTTACCTAATGAAAATTTTAAGACAATTCCTATTTTTTTAATTTCAGGAACATATCATACGGATTTTTCAGTGCTGTATCAAGAGTTGGTGCGATGGTGGCTCCACAAATTATTTTTCTTGTAATTGAGACCCTTTGTTCAATTTCATTCTTTAACATTATACTATATATATATATATATATATATATATATATATATATATATATATATATATATATATATATATATATATATATATATATATATATATATATATATATATACTAAACGCATTTTATAAAAACAATTAACTGAATCATAATTTGCTTTCAAGAGCAAGACGGTTCCTGGCCTGCTTTACTTTGTGATTGGGGGAACTCTGCTACTGTCTGGGATCTTTGTCTTCTTACTTCCGGAAACCAAAGGACGTGCTCTTGAAGACCATGTAAAGGTTGAAGATTCCGCTGAGCAAATGAACCTTGTGGAAAACGATTCCGAGAAAAAGACACAACTCACAGAAAGCTTTTAATTTTGAAACTAATTTTGGTGAATCTCACATGTGTTTTGTCCTATTTTAGTGTGTAAGTGTATATTAAGTGTAGAAGTTTTTAATTAAATATATCAAATTATATTAAATCAGAATCTATGAAATAAATTGACAATGTGTATATTGCTTTATTTCACCACCAAAAGTGTAAATTTCATGGCAGAGTTTTAAACGATGTGTTCTCTTTGCATAAGCATCACTGCATGCTCATACGAAAATTGACAGTTGACAGACAACTAGCAGGTAATTAGTCGTCAACTGAATACTCGAAAACAATTGACCACTTGGAGTTACTGCTTTTCTGAAAAGTTTTCAACTGTTTTGCATAAAATGGCCAGTTGACCGTCAATTGTCTGCTTTTTACTGAGTTGACCATTAGTTGAATGCTAATACTTTAAAAAAAGTGATGCGAGAAAAGAGTTTAATTCCGAACACTCCCACTTTGTGAAAACTTGCAGAGTTGACCACTCAAAGTTAGAAAAGCTCTCAAACTCTATTTGGATTTGATTGAATGATTGTTGTTTAACGTCCCTCTCAAGAATTTTTCACTCATATGGAGAAGCCACCACTTGCCGGTGGAGGGCTACAAATTTTTGACCTATACTCGGCACTTAGGGCCATTGAGCAGTGAGGGATCTTTTTCGTGCCAGCACCTACTCATCTTCGCTAGCCAAGGGTTTATGATACGCTACTCTCCTCATAAGCCCTTGGCATACGGTGTTAAAAAAGTTGGGATTTTTTTCTCAAGCTGTGATTGGAGCTGATCGACATCATTCGACCAATCAGCAATTGTTTTTTGTAAATGACAATATTTGCGTTCGGGATTTATCTTGACTCTTTAATATCAGGAATGAAAAACGCAAGTAAACAACGATCCATAAGATAACATGTCATTCTATGAATAGCTATATGGTGTCACCCAATATCTTAAGCTACATGCAAAATATGTGATTAAGAGTCTATACTGAAGATGTAGATTTGCATTTTAACATGTTTAAATAACAAATTAACATAACTCAATACCTTCTTGTTAATTATTCTTCAAAAACATTATATTTTTAAATACGCTTTTTATTTCTGTCGATGACGCAATCTGTGCGTACCTGGTAAGAAGCATGATCACGTGACGAAAACAATCCCGTCTTTTGTCAGCACCGTATGCCAAGGGTTTATGAGGAGAGTAGCATATCAGGAACCCTTGGCTAGCGAAGATGGCACCTACTGCGACACGGGACCTCGGTTTATACGGTCTCATCCGAAGGACCGGTCTCCACGACCCGCAGTGGGATTCGAACTCGCGACGTAAGGATCAACTACTTACTCCGGACTCTAGAGCAGAGACTCTAACCACTGCGCCACGCGGGCGACATTTGGGTTTGAAGTGACCTTTTTATAGATCGGGTTTGCAATTCCATAATTCTTACAACCATCTAGATTTGAATTCAACTAACCTGTGTCGCTGTATGCTTTGTTAGAACGTGGAGAATTTTGAATTGAGACATATGACATATAAATATTGGTGTTTTATGAATGATTCAGCTTGTGCAATTTATGTAAGTGTAAAATTTAAAGATTGATTTTAAAAATGTCTATGCTTTTGACTAATATACTTTTTCTGCACAGAAAATAAATAGAAAGCATAGCAACATGTAAGAGTATGCCAGTTCAATTATTATGCATTTTTATACATATACTTTTTTTTTTACATGTATAACATTTTACTAGTCCCATTGTTTTGAATTTTCTACTGAGAGAAATGGCGGCTTTTCAAAGCACACTGCTTGCCTTAGGTTTTTCGAAACTCTCTCCACTTTTCTTTTTGGAAAACAACATGCACTGACTAATGAGGTAACCACCAGTGGTCAATTGCACAGAAAACAGAGGAGTATTCAACAGTGGTCATCTGCAAAGAAAATATAGGAGCATTCAACAGTGGTCAACTGCACAGAAAATAGAGGAGTATTCAACAGTGGTAAACTGAATTATTCAAGTCAGATAAACTGCACAGAGAATATAGGAGTATTCAGCATTGACAACTGTAAGGAAAATACATGTATAGGAGAGTTCAACAGTAGTCAACTGTACAGAATATATAAAAGGAGTATTCAATAGTGGTCAACTATATGCAAATGAGTTGAACACTCCCTTATATGCATGGCAAAAATTCAACTAATGGTCAATTGATCACCAACGAAGCGTCAATTGAAAACCTCGATTAAATTCTAAGAATCTTTTTTGTATGGGTATTACTTTTTTTATTTTTGATATTATCGTACTGTCTCGAGCCAGTTTAGACTTGGTCAGCTGAAGTTTGGTATTTATTATATATGAATTTATACTATTAAATATAAAATATGTTTCTCACACATATGCCATTTGCAGGGTTTAAAATGTGGGCAAAAAATTGTTGAGTATTCCGCAATTTACCAGCACTTTTTACATGGATATAAGGAAGTTGGAATAAGAAAATGAAAAAAAAAATAGACACACAAACTTCTAAGCATGATTTACTGCGATAGATAAAGAAGTATCAAATTGTCTGCACAATAAATCTGTTAATTTTTATTAGATCCTTATGTTTAACAGCATTTTGCCAGGCGAAGTTTATATAAACATATTTAAACGTGTTGTCCATATGATAATTCAGTATACTCGTTCATACTCATTTCCAAATGAGTTAATTGACTGAAATATTGACACTTGGCGATACCTGATGTAGAAAGTGAGATGACATGGAAACTGATAACACTTGAAACAAATTTTCTTGAGTGGATATAAACACTTGTTGATCTTCACTAAGCGTGTGCACTTGAAAATACAACTAGCAAAAAAAACCACTGCATTATAACGTTTAAAATTTCGAGCAATTTCCTGAAAATATGAATAATAAAATGAAAACTTTTTTTTTTTTTTTTTTTTTTTTTTTTAGCCTAAAATTTTATATTGAATCATGCATTATTTCCTAGAACGGTTAGGAAATGAATAATTGTACCGCGTCGTGTCAAGGGTTCTTCTTTCAAATTATTTGAATTCAGTTCAACAACCTTGTAGTTAACCTTTGTACGTGCTCAAGAAGAGAAGTAAAATAAATTTCATATTTTTACATGGAAACAAGGAATTTCTGAGTTTAAAGGTAAGGATCTAAAAGTGATGCAGTTGTCGTAGAAATTTAAAGTTGTTGATAACAAGCTTTAGAAAAATCCTTGGTATTGCTTTGTAAAATCCTAAGGTGAGGAATTAAGCATGGAATTTTAAGGTGTAATATCCCTCTGATAAGAGAGATAACTTTCCAAGGAAATTATTTCAAGCAATCCAATGAATTGCCTTACCAGAGTTTAATAATGAGGACCATCATATAGTCAACTCATTCAATTCTGAACTATGTTACAAATATTGATTTCTAAAAAAAAAATTAAAAATATGAGGTATATATGAAAATAATATTTACTATCATATCGTAATTTCAGATGCATATATTTAATAATCAATTAATTTTAAAATATTTTTTCACTGAAAATAATATTTTGAAGAACGATAACTCCTGACGATGGAAAGATAACTCTTGTAAATGGATGCATTTTTCTTTTACAAGCACAGATATGTATGATAGTAAATATTATTTTCATATACCGGTATACCTTATATTTCTAATTTTATGGTGAAATAAAAAAATTATCGATCTTTCTGTTCACCATATCAAATTTTCTTCATATCATGATGAGACATAATATTCATTTCTGAAAAGTCGCCCGCGTGGCGCAGTGGTTAGAGCGTCTGCTCTAGAGTCGCGAGGTAAGGAGTTGATCCTTACGTCGCGAGTTCGAATCCCACTGTGGGACGCTGAGACCGGTCCTTCGGATGAGACCGTATAAACCGAGGTCCCGTGTCGCAGTAGGTGTTGGCACGAAAAAGACCCCTCACTGCTCAATGGCCGTAAGTGCCGAGTATAGGACAAAATTTGCAGCTCCCCATCGGCAAGTAGTGGCGTCTCCATATGAGTGAAAAATTCTCGAGAGGGACGTTAAACAACACACAAACAAACACACAACACATTTCTGAAAAAGTAAGCAACGCTTCATACTTCAAACTATTTTCCATTTGAATCTAATGCTATTGTTGCTGATGGAAATCAATGTTGGGATTTTTTTTTAAATGATGATATTTGGAGCAGGGGGATATTTCACTTTAAATGGATAATTTCAAAGGAAATCTTTTCTATTAGCTACACTCTTGATTACGTACACATGTATATTCAGCTTTATATATATATATATATATATATATATATATATATATATATATATATATATATATATATATATATATATATATATATATATATATATATATATATATATATATATATATATATATATATATATATATATAATTTTTATCTAAATATATATATATCTATATTTTTAGAGACATGGAGACATTTTTCATCTGTATTCCGTTTATTTTGATGGCAATCATTTATAGCTCAGGAAAAAATCATTTTTGTTCAGAAACTGTGTGCTTCTGTGCGGACATTTTCACAGCAGATTGTTCGAATAGAAATCTTAGAGAATTTCCAGACGGATTACCCTTGAAGATTAAGACTCTTGTCTTGTCTGGAAATAATTTTTCGCATATTCGGAATGACACAATGGAACCAATTCTTGCTTTGAATATCACTAAGCTATTATTGAATAATTGTCATATAAAAAGCATTTCAGAACACTTCTTTGAAAGGTTTTCAAATCTGGTATTTCTTGATTTAGCTTATAATGAGTTAAACCTAACCAATATCTACCACGGCATTAAAAGTCTGAGAGATTCAAATATTCAAGTGCTAAACATATCCGGAATTTTCTTCATGGGAAGACTTTTACCTGGTGAAATATTTAGGACTTTTTGGATGAGGGAATTGCAAGAGATAGTTCTTCGATCATGCGGCATCAGATATTTTTCATTTAAATCTTTTAAACTATTACTAAACATAAGAAAAATAGATTTTGGGAGCAACCTGATAACAAACTATGTACTGCCTGAACAGCCGTTTCGTTCTATACGAGAGCTGAATTTCACAGACAATTATTTTGAAAAAGTCCCAAAATTTTGTTTGAATGGCACAAGGAATTTAGCAGCGTTTCCAAATCTGAGAAAATTGCATATAGCAGTAAATACTCTTGTAAACACAGATAATTTTATAAGTCAGGGTTTTTGCCTAAAACAAGTTATATTTTTGAACATTTCCCAAAATGTTTTCAAGGAAATCGCTTTATACTCGTTTTACAGAATGGGTCGATTACAAACGCTAGTCGCTGACAATTTGCGTGGAGTTGCTTTAGACAATATGTCGTTATCATCACGTTCTCTTCAAAGGCTCTCTATAGGTCGCTTGGTGAAAACAAGAGACAGAGACTTCACAAAAATGTTTGATAATTGTCCAAATATAAAAGTTCTAAATATTATGAACACAGATTTATCAGTAATTGCTGTAACAAAAATGCTGGCTCCTCTGAGAGATGTATCATCACTTTCTTTTGTTAATTGTGAGGTTAATGAAATTATGAATCTGAATAATTTTACAAAATTGGCTTACATCGACTTCAGAAACAACAGAATTAAAAAGATTCAAGCAAGAGTTTTTCAAAATTTAACTAATTTGAAACGATTGGATCTTAGTAATAATCGTTTGAACAACATCAATAGGTCATTTTTGCCTGGTTCTCTTTGGGAAGGAAAAGACTTCACGCTTGATGTGTCTTTGAATCCCTTGGATTGTGGATGTCAGCTAGAATGGTTTAGAATTTGGATAGAAAACAATGTGAATAGGGTCATTGGATACCCAGGGAGATATATATGTGATTCCCCATCGGAATTAAAAGATAAAAGCTTATCAAACTTTGATCCAGCTTCGGAATGTCACAGGATAAGCCCATATATAATTCTGATTTGCGTTTCACTTGCACTTCTTTCTCTTGTAATTTTATCTATATATCTCTTGCGAAAATTTCGATGGGACATCAAATATTACATTTACATTTGTAAAAATAAAAAACCTTCTGGTTACAAGAGATTCACTGATGATGAAGAATTCCTCTACGATGCCTTTGTTGCTTACAACACCAAAGATAGATACTGGATCATGTCTGAGCTTGTTCAAATGGTGGAAAGAAATGAAAAACATAAATTATGTTTGCATGAGAGGGATATTATTCCTGGTGGAATTTATGTGGATGACATTCTAGAGAGCATTGATACCAGCAGGAAATTCATTCTGGTGCTTTCAAACAATTTCATGGACGATCAATGGTGCATGTACGAAGCTGCTCTCGCTAATCATACTTTGGCTGATGGCGAAGGTCACAAATTATTACTTATTTTGTTAGAGGACATTCGTTCTGAACACATCAATAGATCTTTGAAAGTGCTCCTTAAGTCAACCTCCTATGTGGAATGGACAAAAAATAAAAATGGATTGAAGATATTCTGGCAAACTATCAAACAGTTCATGAAAAAGTGATTGTGTGAAATGCAATAAAACTTTACGCCACATGATATGTAATCTGAATAATATGTTTTTGTTTAAATGTTTATTATCAGTTTCTTTTTTTTCTTCTTTTTTGGATAATGCTTTATTTTTGAAAAAGTTTTCATATACATATACAAACATATATATTTATATTAATTTATATTAATTTACAAATCGGGGGCATATAAAAATTAAATGGAAATATGAAAAGGAAGAAGAATGTATAACAAATTTATTGATGTATGCGTATTCCATGTTTTCTAATGCATTATATCAATAATCATGCGAAGTTTAAACGAGGTGAGGCAGACGAGAAAAAAGTTGCAGGCATTCTCTTTTTTTATGTATCAGTCGAAAACGAAATATTTTGAAACAGCTTATAGACACAAAAGTGTTCTTATCGATAACATATAGTGCATGTTAGAATACAAAAATAGGAAAAAGGTGACTTGATCCCAGATTTAAAAAGAAAGTGCCTGTGTCCTACACTGTTAACTAAGTATCTGGTCAACTGCTTGCACAGGTGCTTGAGGAAGCCCATCCGGATATAGATCCAAGGTCTTTTTGTCTTTTTGAAAAGAAATTACCTTTAATAACATACTGGGGACTAGATCCATTCCAACAATTCCCTAAAACAAATATTTGGTAAACTCTCTCTCTCTCTCTCTCTCTCTCTCTCTATATATATATATATATATATATATATATATATATATATATATATATATATATATATATATATATATATATATATATATATATATATATATATATATATATATATATATATATATATTTTTATACATTTGTTTTCATGTATAAAGAATGGGGTAAGAAATTTTGTAAAATGTTTGTTTAAGATGTTGTTAATACAAAGTTTGAAAGTACCACATTATTTTTGCAGGGTATTGTTTTGTCACACTTTAGCAACCCTTTACAGTAAAAGTTTTATAGATCACATACAAAATCAAAATTAAATTTTATCAAACGAAGAATGATCCTCCACTAAGTGATATCTCGTAAAGCATCGCTTTACACAAAGTGATGTAGGTGTTAAATGTTTCAAACATAAGTTCATAAGGAATTTAGAGTCTCTAACAAATATAATTTCATCAATGTTAAATGACTATCGAGTGAATCAGAGTGGTGTTTATTCATTTGTAACGGAACATAAAGTATTGCCTCACCAGATGTTTGGATTGATGTTTTTTAAAACTTGTTATTTCTAATCATTAAGTAAGCTATATACCGTAAAGGTAACTTTAATGTGTGATCATTTTACTGAAAACTAGGTTAAAATCACTGTCTTAACAACTTCAGTTGTTATGCATATTTCTTCATTTCAAATTAAATGGAAGGATTTGCAAGAATTAATCGAACCTTTAATTTTGAATTTTCTAGGCAGATTTTTGGCAAGAAACAATAAATATAGTTTAATAAAAAAAATACATATAGTTACCAGAGTAACCTCGCATAAACGGTAACCATACGTATGATTTTATGAACTAAGATGGGTTGAAAGGATGCAGTTCTAGATAGTGGTATTTCTTGTCGATAACACAATGATATTCATTTATGTACAAGCTCTTGTATGTCCAAATGACATAAAATGTAAGTTAAGAATACATCTAACAAGTTTTTTCAGATTATGGGAAAAATATCAAGATTTCTGTAAAAGTCTGAATTTAAGTCAAAAAAGATTAGTTCGGACCCAACCACCGTTTCGGTCCAGTTCGCCTCCTCAATGTCAAATACTTGCCGACCCCCCTGACTTATAAGAGATAAGAGACTGTGAAAAAAAAAGTATTATTGTATTGAAATTGAATTTATTCATATTTAATCTGATCATCTGAACACTTTTTATATGGATAAAAGTTCGAATAAGCAATTTTCAAATATAATTTCTCCCTTTATCAACTGTGTTTCATTACTCCCGCGCAGTTCTTTTATTTTTATTTTTTTTTCTTTCGTGTTCATAGCAGTTATGAAAGACCCAAGAGGATTCTGAATGATTGCTATATACCAACCACGATTCTAATTGGTTGCTTTTCTAGGCTCTATTCCCTAAGGTCATGCCTATGATGGCATAAAATGCAGGTGCATTGTATGTTTGTAAACATCTACGCTTTGTATATTTCATTTCATGAGATCATAGAGGTATATTACCAGGGATGAAATACTATAGTTCCTAATTCAGCGCCATGTATATTTCATCAAATCACACAGGTTCATTTTTGTATAATTGTAAAAACAGGTCCCATAGCCGGTGCTTGTTAGTAACCGCTTTTCTCTTTCCTTATTTTTAATTTTCATGAGACTCTTGGCAAGCCTCGTGTCTCTTCAAAATTAAAAAAAAATAAGATACTCGATTTTGAGACAAACCGGTTACTAACTCGCAGTGGTATGAAACCTATATGTCCTCAAGAGACAACTTTGTATAAAGTTTACTGTTAGGTATAACAAACAATGACTGAATCCGATTTCGTTCTGAATAAATGAAAATTGTTAATTTTTTCATTATACATGTATTTCAGGGCGATGATGCAAAATTCTTATCTGTAAACTTCATATGAAAATTTAAATTTTTCTTTCATATTGATTATCCAGAAATCATCACTCTGGTTTTGCACATGTTACCGAGCAGTAAGGATGTGATGATGGAATCAGATGATGGTAGCCATTTTATTTAATGAAGTTTAAAAAGATATTGACCTGTAACAATAATAAAGAATAAATTAGAGAAAAATACAATTTACATATAGATTCATAAATTTTGACAATTAGTTACCGTTAATGCAGCATACATATATAAGATAGAAAGAATGTTTTGTAGCAAAATGAACTTTGAACTTACAGACAAATATAAGAATTTACTCAAACAACTTTAAATGCAAAAATACAATAATATATAAATTTTGCAATTAAAATAAAATGTAATACACAAAACTTTTATAGTAAAGTAACAAATAAATAAATATTAAAGTTACATACTACAAGATGCAGCTGATAGCATTTCATGATGATGAGCACTGAGAAAGTTAAATCATGTCCGGGCGCATAATTTTGAAAATAATTCAAATCTTAGATGTTACTGTCTATTATGTTAAAGTGTGTCTATGAAAATTGTTCAAGGTGACGTCTGAAATGTAAATGTTATGTTTTCTGGGTCATAATGATGGTTAAGGTGTATTGAAGCTATGTGTTTAAAATAAAAAAATGTAAATATTTTTGGGCGAATTTTTTTTCACAAAATTTCTACTGAAATGTGCATTAAATTGGTATTTTTTAGTCAGCAGGTCATTGTGATATCATTGATCTAATATCATGTTTTGTTCCGACCCAGTTCTACCAATTTTCAGTGGATGATTGTTGTTCTTTTTAGTTATTCCTATCCACTTTCATTTAATAAAGAATCTGATAAAATGGGGACACACAAGTCCTTCAACATATCAATAATTTCTTTTATGTGATACTGAACCTCTACTGTGGCTTTTAAGTATTTTTCATAGAAATGAAAACAGACTACAGAGGAACTCTTTAATGCTAGGAGATAAACAATTACGTCAGAGGAGCTATATTTTTTACGGAGATTTCAGTGAATGTTTCTATGTTGGGATTTACATGCCTAGACCGTATGCAATGTGGAAATAATACTGACAGAGAGTTAAAGACCTAAATGACTTAATTGAAGCGAACGACAGTGTCGCCTAGGTGAATAATTCTAGCTAAAGCCGGTGTACACGAATAATGACCACCATAGAATAATGACCGGGGGTGTCATTTTTCATCGACAAAAAATGACCCGTAGAAAAAATCATTTTTTTTTTTGTAGAAAAAGAGCCCAAGGGGTCATTTTTTTTATATGTGCGTCCTATAAAAATTGAACCCCGTTGAAAAATGGAGTGATACAAAATTTATAACAGGTGATTGATGCCAAGGTTTGAACCTCGATGTTAAATTCTTCTTTATGTCCTCTTTGATCAACACTGAACGAACGCGCAATTAAAATGCAATTTTACATTTTGCAATTTTAGCATTACATTTACATGCATATTTGTGTTCTCAGCACCTATTGAAAATCGCAAAATGGCTACTATTGGTTATAACTCTTAACGTAATCTCCCTTTACGACTGTCTTACATTTATTTCATATTTGTATATTTGACTGATTATAGACATTCATAGCTAAGTAACAGACAAGCGGGATGTTCTGGCTATTCAATGGTAATTATGTCTCCGAAAGTATTCAGAATGCTTTGAGTACGATCAACTTTTTTTAAAGTGAAGGGAAAAATGAATGAGATAAGTTTTCGGAAATAAATACGGAAAATTATGCCATGTAATATATTTTGAATGACATAAAAAGTCGTGCAAATTAGGTAGAATGTATCGCAAATGACATAATATCTCGTGCAAACGACATACTGTGGATATATTTTCCTAATGAAAAAAAGGTGAAGATAACGAACAGTAATGATATTAAAAATATCCACAACAAACAATACAGTTCTGTTAACAGGGCATAAAAAGGACCCCCAAAAATTGCAGAGGTGGGATCAGGTGTGTAGAAAGAGTAAGCATTCTCTGTTGACCCGTCAAACCCGCCGTGAGCCCTATGAATAAATCAGGTAAACGGGACATTCCGTTGTCGAATTCAATATAAAAACAAAGGTTAAACAATTGACCCAATTATACGTTATATTTGTTGACAGGGTCCTTGATACGATCATTTACGAAATGAATTTATGACATGCTGACTTTAAACGAGATTGTTGAAACGCCCGTAACATCAATTTACTTGGATCTGTCAGTATCCTGCCTCGATTAATAGATTAATCGTGCTCTAGGGTATAGAATAAGTTGGTGGACGTAAACATCATATGCAAATGATTGCGGAATATTACTACATAAATAAGGAAAGTTGACGATTGAAAAAGTTGAAGTCATCACGTTTGTCAGACAATTTAGTTGTTACGTCTTTTTTGTCTATTGTCAGTAGAACGTCCAAATATGAAGCAGACGTGGCAAGCATAAGAAGGACATAACATTTCTGCATGTCTAAAATATATACAGTCGTATAATGTGCATTCAATTTTATTTATTAACAGTGGCCTATGGGAATTTCTTTTCAAATATATAGAAGTAATAAAGAAGAATCCCAGTATAATGTACATTCAAGTCTGTTAACATGGTCGTCTGAGAATAGGATACATACATGTAAGAGGAATAATTTTTTTTTTAATCCACTTTAAAACAGTGATACATTTGTCAAATCAATATGGAAACATTTCAATACAGTGTATATTGAAGTAGATTAATATTTTCAATTTATCATTAAAGACAGACCATTTTCTTGACCTTCCAGGTGAACATAAGAATTTATTTTTCCTACATTGAACAAAAAATAGATTGAAAACAATTCTGAAAAGTTATTTCACCTGCATCAGAATTCCACTCAAGTGAACATAATATTCAGGCACAAAGAATCGCAGAAGGGGGAGGGATTGCCCCCCCCTTTTTTTTTGAATGTAAATTTTAGCAATTTCTAGTTTGAAAATGTTCATTGAAAGTCTTGTAACAACACCCTTTTTTATACAGTATAAATAAAAAAAATCTCCTACTTGAGTGGACAAGGTGAACATAATATTTAGGCGTATAGAATCAGGGGTTGGGTGGGGTGTCCTCCCCTTTCCATTTTCATGAACGTAAATTTTTATTTTTTCGCTTGAAGGATATTGCTAGTCTGGTTACCCTACCTCCAACTTATTGTTACAGATGAGCAAAAGGAAATCCCCCTTACATCAATAAACTTTTTAGGGGTTCATCAAGATATTTCTAAGGTAACTTGTCATGTTTGCATCTTATAATACCCCATTTCCCCTTTCGATGCCATGTCTGATATTTATGGATGCCCTATTTTTTCTCATTCAAAAGTTATACCCAATGTTAAATTTTTTGAAAAGTGGATCAAACTTCAACGTCAAGGACAGGGTCAATAAGATAGTATATTTGGAAAGGTCTTATCACAGGTGATGTAAATGTGAAAAATAAAAGACCTAGTTCTTCTCATTCAAGTAATGACCATGGTAAAAGTAATGTCAAAAGTTTTGAAAAGTAGTCAAACTTCAAGGTCATGAGGACAAAAATTAAGAGTATATTTGGTAAGTCTTGTCGAGGGTAATGTACATGCGAAATTTAAAAGCCCTATTTTCTCTCATTCAAAAGCTATAGCCAAGGTTAAAAGTTTTGTGACAGAGAGACTGAAAGACTGACAGACGAATGAAATGTAATGTCCACCTCACTTTCGCAAAAGCGGGGACAACAATACCAAATTTGCCATATTTCATTGAAAAATAAAAAAGTAATGGTCAATTAAGGAACACTATAATATTGATTGGTTGACCTACTAAACATGGTGATAGATGTTTTTTTTAAACCTCAGGTTTTATTACAATATATCATTTTAGATTTAAAACATGCTGTTACAAGAAAAACAATACTAAATGTCATATTAAAAATCAAAACAGTTATGGTCAATTAAGATAACACACCAATATCGATTTAGTTACCTTAAGTATGGATGATTTCTATGGAAATTCAAGTTTTCGAAAAATATTTACAATAAAAATGAACCTATACTACCAGATGATGCTTCCACGCATTAATATGATTCATCATGGTTTTGCTGTTCTTGAGAATAGGTGTTTGCAGATTTCCCCCATATAATCCCTATTGGGCCCCGGGGAGCATGATCTGAACAATTTACAATCCATACTAACTCATGAAGCTTCCAATTAAGTTTCATCTTTTCTGGTCCAGTGGTTTTGAGAAGAATATATTTCAAAGATTTTTCCTATACATTTCAATGCAAAACTTTGTTCCCATTTTGTGCTCCCACCCTACCCCGGGGACCATGATCTGAACATTTACAATCTACACTACCTTAAGAAGCTTTCATCTACATGTCATTTTTTTTTTGGTTCTATGGTTCTTGATAAGAAGATTTTTAAAGATTTATATATATATATTCTTCAATGAAAAACTTTGATCCTCTTTGTAGCCACACCCTACGGACATGATTTGAACAATTAACAGTCTATACTACCGAAGCGTTCACCAAAATTTCATTTTCATTTTTTTCTGGTCTAGCAGTTCTTGAGAAGAAGATTTCCAAATAAGATTTTAATTTTTATTTAAATAAAAAACTTTGATCCCCTAATGTATCCCCGCTCTTCCCCCCATGGGACATGATTTGAACAATTAACATTCTACAGTACCTCAGAAAGCTTTCACCTAAGTTTAAGCTTTTCTGTCAAAGTGGTTCTTAAGAAGAAGATTTTGAAAGATTTTTCCTATATATTTCAATATAAAAATTTTATTCCTTATTATGGTTCCACCTCTACCCCCCGACCCCCCCCCACCCACCCACCCCCCCGGGGGGGGGACATGATTTGAATAATTTAGAATCTACACTACCTCAGATAGCTTCCACTTACGTTTTTGCTTTTCTTGTCCAGTGGTTCTTGAGAAGATTTTTCAATGAACCACCATATTTTTGCCTTTTCTTGATTATACCCCCTTGGAAGGGGGCTTGGCATTTTATTTTAAAAATTAAGAATCCCCTTAACGCAGGTATGCTTTGTACCAAGTTTGGTTAAAATTGGTGCAGTGGTTCTAGAAAAGAAGTTGAAAGTGTGAAGAGTTTTAAGACGAACGGATTCTGGACAACGGGTGATCTTTCAGCTCAGGTGAGCTAATAAAGATGAATATTAAACACACATTTTGAAAGAAATATTTATCCTGTCACTTTCGAATCCAAATGCGTAGGAGCGTATTTCCTTAATTCAGAATTATTTATCATGCTTGGTTTAGACTTATCTTTATCTTGTCAAAGCTTTCTAAGTTAAGCGATTTTTATCTCTTTTACAGTATTGCAATTGTTCTCCGCTCATGGTCTTAATGCAAAAATAAAACGGCATGTTACTCAAAGGAAATACTTTTTTTCGGCCTAAGAACATGAATAAACATGCATGCAATTCAGAATCTTATTATTATTTTTTAACAGAAACTTGTTGTTATCAATGAAAGTTAGAAAACTTTATGTTCATAAAATAAAGCTATTTAACGGGTAAGGGATGTCCAAAAGAGATAAAAAGAAACTTCACAATAATTTAAATTTCTGTAATTATTAAAAAATAAACAATTCCAAACAAACTTACAAATCTAAATCAAACTAACAAACGTAAATAGCAAACTGAAAAAGTAAAGACAGAAAAAATAAACGAAGAAATCTGAAGGAAAAAAGAAAACTTAAGGGACAAGAATCTTATTTAAAGTCAACATTTTGCAAATTCTATGGTCGATAAAATTACCTTGTTTGCAACTACAATCTATCGTTTAGCCGAATGTTGACTAACTTCTTTCAGACGAATTGTTAGGCCATTATTTCACACTAATTTGTTTTCCGTTTACCCGATCATGACAAAGAAGACATGGCGGGTGTGACCGGTCTACAGGGGATGCTCACTCCTCCATGGTACATAATCCCAACTTTGTTTTCAGAGGTCCTTATTTGTTCTGCTCACAATTTGTATTGTTTGATTGGACATTTCACAACAAAGGCAAATATTTTTTTTGTTTTACTGGATGTAAGGAATAAGCAATGGACTAATTTGATCATCTTATCATATATCTCTTTTTTAAAATATTTTATGTAGTTTGAAATCAAAATAAAGGAGAAAAGATTGCAAGATTTTATCTAAAAAAATAATTTTCAAATTTTTAACTATTATTTGAAACCAAAATAAAGGGAAAAGGATATTAAGATTTTTTCTGAAGAAATAATTGTCAAATTTTTAGCTCTTGTCCATAAATTGCTTTAAAGTTTGCCAGAACATTCTCTGACCAGTTTTATTTTCTGTCCACTCTACATGGGAAATTGATTTTAGGAGCACTTTCAGGGATCTGTTGATGTGTTCAGAACGAATGTTCTCCAACAAAATTAGAAAAAGCTTGTGACCATCACCATCTGCCAAAGTGTGACTTGCGAGTGCTGTTTCATATTTACACCATTGATCGTCCATAAAGTTATTTGAAAGCACTAAAATTAACTTCCTGCTTGTGTCAATGCTCTCTAGAATGTCATCCACATAAACACCGCCTGGAATGATATCTCTCTCGTGCAAACAGAGTTTATATTTGTGATTTCTTTCTAGCATTCTAACAAGTTCAGACATGATCCATTTTCTGTCGTTTGTATTATAAGCAATAAAAGCATCATATAAAAATTCTTCGTCATCGGTAAATCTTCTGTAACCCATAGGTTTTCTATTTTTGCAAATGTAAAAGTAATACTTAATATCCCAGCGAAATTTCCTTAGAAGAATTGTCGTGAAAATTAGAATAGAGAGAAGTCCGCAGGATATTGATGTAAGTATAATATAGGGGTTTATTTTGTGACATTCCAAAGCTGGATCAAAGTTGGATAGGCTTTTTCCCTTTAACTCCGATGGGGAATCACAAATATAGTTGTTTGGGTATCCAGTCACCCTGTCTTTGTTGTTTTCTACCCAAACTCTGAACCATTCCAGTTGACATCCACAATCGAAGGGATTGGAGGATACATCAAGAAGGAAGTTTTTCTTTTTCCAAAGGAAATCGGGCAAAAATGTTTGATTGATATTATTTAAACCATTGCTTTGAAGAACAAATTGATTCAACTTAGTCAGGTTTTGAACAACGTCTCCTTGAATTTCTTTAATTCTATTGAAACTATAATCTATGTAGGTCAAGTTTGTGAAATCATTTAGAACAGTTATCTGATTTATTCCACCATTAACTATTGTCAAGGATGACAACTTCCTCAGAGGTACCAACATTTTTCGTACATCAGTTTTAGAAAAGTCTGTATTCATTATTTTCAAAACCTTTATATTTGGGCAATCGAGGAAAATATTTTTGAATTCCTTGTCTTTTATCTCCACAATACGTCCGATAGACAGGGTTTGGAGAGATTTTGATGACAAAGATCTATTGTCTAAAGCAACTCCACGTAAATTATCTACGATTAAGGTTTGTAAGTGGCGCATTGTAACAAAAGAGAAGAATGAAATTTCCTGGAAAAGATTTAGGGAAATGTTCAAAATTGTAACTTGTTGGAGACAGTTACCCTGTCCCATGAAGTCGGCTGTACTCATCAAAATATTTACTGCCATGTGCAATTTTTGCAGCTTTGGAAAGGCTGGTATATTTTCTCTTGTCGTGCTATTCAAGCAGAACTTCGGTATTTTTTCAAAATAATTTTCTGTAAAATTCAGTTCTTCTAAAGTATCAATCTGAAGTTTTGGCACTACGTAGTTTGATATCATGTTGTTCCCGAAATCAATTTTTCTAACATTGTATAATTCTTTAAAAGAATCAAAAGTAAAAAATCTTATGCCACAAGATCTAATGACGATCTCTTGTACTTCCTTTAACCAGGCTGTAAGGAAAATGTTATTCTTTACAACAGGAAATAATCGAGTATCAAAAAGTGTGCCAGAAATGTTAAGCACTTTTACTTTTGAATTTCCAAGATTTTGTATGGCACGATAAATAGATTTTATATTTAATTCATTATAAGCCAAATCAATGGAAACCAGATTTTGTAAACTCTCAAAAGAACGTTCTGAAATTTTTTGTATTTGACAATTATCTAATAATAAATTTGTAATATTGAAACTACGGACAGAGTTGAATATATCATTTCCAAGATTTGGGAATCTATTTCCTGACAATACTAGAATGTGAACACTTTTTGGCAAGTCAGCTGGGATGACTTCAAGATTTCTATTCGAACAATCCGCTGTATAAATGTCTGGACAAAGGCATATACAACCGGGACAAAAATTTTCTGTTGTTTGTCCTCGAACAATAGTCATTAAAATTAGCGGTATATTGAGGACTTGGGAACCCATTGTTCTCTAGATGAAAAAAATAAAACAAAGAATTTCATTACTAAATATTATAACTTCAATATCCTTTAATAAATAGGTACGAAGTTCTGAAAAATAAGCAGTATCAAAATGTTATATTTGTAAGTTTTAAACATTCAACAATAGAAAAGTCTTCATAGTGAAAAATAAATAAATAGTATTTTGGCTGACGTGTTTCATACCAATTTTTAAGCCTTTAATTTTATTCTAAATTTGATTACGGAAAGTTCCGTCTACCTAATCAATACATATTTCTTAAGGCGGATGTGACCGGTCATCAGGAGATGTTTACTCCTCCAAAGCACCTGATCCCTAGAATTTCAGGGGCCCGTGTTTTATTCCCTGTTCACAGATTTGCATTGTTTGTTGATTTCTGGAGATCGATCATTGTTCGTTATCTTCACCTTATTCATCATAAAAGAATATAGTTTTTGAAAACTAACAAACCCAAAAATATGAAATATTAAGTTTTATTACATTTTTAACAGTGAAATAATTTATTTATTGAATAAAAGTGATATTCTGACAGTGTGAAAGGATACCAAAGTTGTTTTCTGTTACAGTGTGAAAGGAAATCAAAGTAAATAAAAAATAATTTCTGACCTGTCATAAGAAAGAGATAGTAACTAAACCGTCTTGATAGAGACAAAAACTGCCAATTTCTTCCCAAATATATTGCTAAAATCCACTTTTCGATGTTTTCAATCTCACAATTGCTAAACTATGATGTCTCAACCTCTCAACTATGGCGTCACGGCCTATGGCACTGTGTTAAGAAAAGACAGATGCAAAGGGAAATCAAAGAAAATTTCATAAACAGAAAACTCAATGTTTTGTAATCGGATATGGAATTTATTTATGCTTCGCACTCATGAAAATATCACGAAACCTGTTCCACTCGTGAATTAATTAAATTCCATATCCAACTTCAAAACATTGAATACCCTCTGTATATTTACATTCCACATTTATTCAGCTTATAAAGTGTATGGAAAGCGACGGCAATCAAAACACAATACATGTATTTACATTACACATGTATTTTGCTTATAAAGTGAGTGGAAAGCTGCGGCATTCAAACCACCATAACACGGACATGGGGTCAAAAGGTTAAGGTTTGCGTTTTATTTTGATGTCACAAACGCTGTACGCCATGGAATTGCAACGTCATAAGCGAAAATCAAATTCACGCTCACATTGAAAGAAGCTATTGCAATGACTTCCATTAATTGTAACTTACACGAAGGGTAATACAGGGATTTTGAAATATAAATCACAATTTTAGTCAAAGCAAAGTGTTAAAAAATGTAAATGTAAGCATTGAATAATTTTCTAAAGATATAAAAAAAAAATTAAAGATATAGTCTCATAACTGCAACGGTGCATGCGAACAAATGTTCATAACGCGCTAACGCGCGTTATTCATTTTGTTTGCATACACCATTGCAGTTTTGAGACTATATCTTTAAAAAAATAATGATTCAATGCTTAAAAGACGGTCGGGGGGGGGGGGGCAAAAGGTTAAAGTATGCATTTTATTTTGACGTCACAAACGTTGAATGCTGTGCAAGTGCAACGTCATAAGCGAAAATCAAAATTCACGCTCAAATTGAACAGAAGCTGTGGCTTTTCCATTAATTGTCAATTACCCAAAAGATAATACAGAGATTCTGAAATATAAATAACATTTTCAGTTAAGGTATGTCACTCGTCACCTTTTTAGAAAAGTTCAGTCAGAACCCTTAACTTCAAAACTATTTATTACAATTCAATTTTTATAACATATTTCAAGTAAACAATGCAAATTATTCAAGATTCAATGAAAAAAAAACTGCTCAGAAATTCATAAAGAAGCAAGATTTATGAGGGACTATTTCTTGTGGTAGAAGGATATTTAGAAGTAAATTATTCAAATATCCACATTTGTTAAATTTAATGTCTTGTAACTATAGCACCAAATATTTTTACTTAGAGAAATTTTTCTGTTATGATATGCTAGGAATATTAAATATAGGTCTTTATTTATATTTTTAGAATAAATTTTACACATTCACTCAACAGACTTTGCCAAAAAATAAAGATATATTAAAGAAGTCAAGATAAAATTTACACCGTTTTTTTGCCTGAAAAGCGCAAATTTTGACCAATATCTCAAAATTTACATCACTGACCCCAACTTTTTCTTTCATAATTTTATACAACTCGATACTTCCACCTGATCAGCACTTAAGTCATAAAAAGTTTGATACAAGAAAATATTTTATTGCCTATTTAGATATTTTATACCCAAAATATAATACTTTTTAGTGCAAAAAGGTCACACAATAATTTATGCGCATTAATTTTCATGATTTGTTCAATGATAAATATCATTCAAACTATTTTACGTAAAATAAGATTATATTTATTACCAAAATTACATCTGATAAAATATGATGAAGATTAAAGTGATTGACCAAAGAGTTACAATTGAAGTGCAAAAAGGTCAACTTAATTGTACCCTAGCTCGGTAGGATGCACACTGACCCCCCATTTTCTTTACGATTTTGAGTCATGCTATATGAGTACTTATTTAAAATATACTTCTCAAAGAATCCTTGATATAACTAATTTCACGAGTGACATACCTTAAGGCAAGGAGTTAAGAAAGATAAATATAAGCATTTAATCAATATTTTTTGAAAGATGTAGTCTCAAAATTGCAACAGGGTGTGCAAACAAATTTTCATAACGTGCTAACGCACAGCTATGAGACTACATCTTTCAAAAAATATTTAATTATTCATTGCTTAAAAATTATAAGAAAGTGTTAGTTAACATTTATAAACAATAACGAAATCATGTTTGTTGAGAGCATTTGATAATGCGGACACCAGTGATTTCTTACCATAAAACACCGTATAAAAGCAAAAAGAATTGTTTTCCCTTGAAAGCAAGCAAAAAAAAAATTAGTAAATTTAAACTATTTCAAAACTTCTAATTCTACTTTAAACCGAGTTTGCTCTGAATAACGTGAATGGATTCCATACACACCTTGTAGGATTACGCGGCCTTCTATGAGTAAAGCTTATTAAACATGCACATCTGTTTTCTGTAATTTCATAAATCAATTATAATTTTTTTTTTTAAATACAAATTTGAGGACCTTATCACTTACCTTAAACATTTGTTATTTATCACACTTAATAAGATAAAGTATTTCCTTCTCAATTCAATATTTCCTCTTATTTCAAGTACCAATCTGAATTCATTTGCAAATCAATAACTTCGTGTAAAATTTTATCAAAAAAATCCATTTTGAGTATGATAATGTCTGTCTGTCAAATGTCATTTCCTGTTGGATATCTCCAATCCAGATAATTTTCGTTTAATTTTCTGGTTTAATCGTCTAAACAAGTAAAAATTCGTCCTATAATAATCGGACTAATTGATTCAAAAGGAGATGGGTGAACAAGGTGCGCAGAATGCCTATACCTTCAGATATATAAAAATCATAATTAATTTGTGAATTAAGTATTTAGAGTAAAGTTCTCATTGAAATTTATGAAATTCTTAGGAAAATTTTCTCTGCAAAAATTATTCTGTTATTTTCATGGGGTTTGAACCATAGCAATTAAAGATCCTGAGTATCATTTTCTTTTGAGACTAACACGCAAACCATATACAGCTCCTGTTGAATTGTGGCATTTAAATCATGTTTGTTATATGACCCTTGACTAAATGGACTTCAAAAATTTCTCGGAAAGATGCGAATGCTGTGTAATAAAAGTGTATTTTAAAGTAAAGTGGGTCTTTGCTCCATGTTTTTGTTAACCAAAAAATGTATATTTTTACGCAAACATTGAGAATAAACGAGCTCCACTCATATCGAAAAAGTGTGTTATAGCAGGGCTCTAATTGGCGAC